CTAGATGGATAGAGAACTGGCTGGGCAACAGGAGACAGAGAGTTGTAGTGGAAGGGAGCTTCTCAAAATGGAGAACTGTGACCAGTGGTGTTCCACAGGGATCCGTGTTGGGACCACTGTTGTTTGTGATATACATAAATGATCTGGAGGAAGGTATAGATGGTCTGATTAGCAAGTTTGCAGATGACACTAAGATTGGTGGAGTAGCAGATAGAGAAGGGGACTGTCGCAGCAGAATATAGATAGATTGGAAAGTTGGGCGGAGAAATGGCAGATGGAGTTCAATCCAGGCAAATGCGAGGTGATGCATTTTGGAAGATCCAATTCAAGAGGGAACTATACGGTAAATGGAAAAGCCCTGGGGAAAATTGATGCACAGAGGGATCTGGGTGTTCAGGTCCATTGTACCCTGAAGGTGGCAACGCAGGTGGATAGAGTGGTCAAGAAGGCATACGGCATGCTTTCATTCATCGGATGGGGTATTGAGTACAAGGGTTGGCAGGTCATGTTACAGTTGTATAGGACTTTGGTTCGACCACATTTGGAACACTGCACACAGTTCTGGTCGCCACATTACCAAAAGGATATGGATGCTTTGGAGAGGGTGCAGAGGAGGTTCACCAGGATGTTGCCTAGTATGGAGGGCGCTAGCTATGAAGAGAGGTTGAGTAGATTAGGATTATTTACATTAGAAAGCCGGAGGTTGAGGGGGGACCTGATTGAGATCTACAAAATCATGAGAGGTATAGACAGGGTGGATAGCAAGAAGCTTTTTCCCAGAGTGGGGGACTCAATTACTAGGGGTCACGATTTCAAGGTGAGAGGGGAAAAGTTTAAGGGAGATATGCGTGGAAAGTTCTTTACGCAGAGGGTGGTGGGTGCCTGGAATGTGTTGCCAGCGGAGGTGGTAGAGACGGGCACGACAGCGTCATTTAAGATGTATCAAGACAGATACATAAATGGGAATGGAGCAGAGGGATACAGATCCTTGGAAAATAGGTGACAGGTTTAGATAGAGGATCTGGATACGCGCAGGCTTAGAGGGCCGAAGGACCTGTTCCTGTGCTGTAATTTTCTTTGTTCTTTGTTCTTTGAGGGGTCTGCTGAGCAAATTTCAGAAAGGGAAGGGTTGTGACAACAGAAATATGAAGAAAGCTTTTGGGGGAAGAAATCAAAACAATTCAAAATAATTTAAAAAATGCCAGGCAATAAGCTTAATAGTAAAACCAATTTGTGCCTTTTTGGTTAAGAGTAGAGCTAGAGAGAGGTAAAGATCTCATTCATAATCATTAAAAAATGGGCGGCGACTGGGTCTAACTTAGGGAGTTAGATTTTAACTTTGGATCACCTCTGGTGGGACACACTCCAAACTGGCCTTAGGGGAATTCACATGAAAGTGGGGAATTGGTAGTGAGCTGACCTTCAGCCTGGGGTTTCCTCATCTCACAGCCAGCATTTCTTCTCCCCTCTCCCCTTGCCCTCCACCGCATTTTGATTCCTCTCCCTGTTTCTCTCTCATCCCTTTTTCTCTCTTTCTCACCCCTATTGCCTCTCTGTATTCCTCTCCTCTCTCTGTGACCCCTCTCACTCTGTTGCAACCTGGCCCCTTTAACTTTGAGAAGATAATCCAGAGACAGTGGGTTGCATTGCAAAGATTTCCCACTGCGGTACTATCCCACCAGCAAACATTTCTTGTTGAAATTAAAGTGGACAATTTTTATTTTTCCAGGGAGACTTAAAAGCTATTTGGTAAAAGGCAATTTCTTTCTTAGAAATGAAATGAAATAATAGTTAGCAGGAGGGGATCTGGAAGCCTGACTATCCCAAACGCCTCAATGTCATAGCGTGACTCAGAGTTCTTCTCCAGCATCTGACTTTCTCCCTGTGGTGCAACTCTCATTCCTTCCCCCTCCTCCTCCCCAAGCTGGAGTTTCCCTTACAGCCTCCAGTTCCCATTCTCACCGCCACAGCTACAGGCCTCCAGCTGCAATCACAGACCAGGTCTGTCCTGCTTTCACTGCTGATAAACTCTCCTTACAGCAGCACATACTGGGGAGGGAAAGAACCTCTGAATGGAGGAGCGGCTCATTGCAAAGTCATCCACTTCACGTTTACCTGCATTTGAAACTTCCGCTCTGCAAATAAACTGTAAATCCATTTCTAGTAAAGTAGGTTTTATGCCCTTTATGATTAAAGCCAGATCAGCCCCTGTTGTGGTGCTGTCCTTAGGAATACATACACAAAGTGGGTCAATACTGAAAGGGTGTTTCCCCTTGTGAGAAATCCAAAATCAGGGAGGCATAGTTGCAGAGAATGGCATCACCTGTTAAAGACAGAGATAAGGAATGGTTTCTTCTCTCAGAGGGATGTGATTCAGAATTTTCTATTACAGGTTAGTTATTGAATATATTCAAAGCTGTGAGAGACACATCTTTGAATGCAAGGGAAATCAATGGGTTATGGGGAACAGGTAGGAAAGTGGAGTTGAGGCCAAGATTGTGTGAGCCATGATCTTATTGAACAACAGAGCAAGTCTGAGGGATCTATTGGAGTCATAGAGTTGTACAGCACAGAAACAGACCCTTCGGTCTGATTAGATATCCTTAACTGAACTACTCCCATTTGCCAGCAATTGGGCCATGTGTCTCTAAACTCTACCTATTCGTATACCCTTCCAGATGCCTTTTAAATGTTATAATTGTACCAGCCACCACCACTTCTTCTGGCAGGTCATTCCATACATGCAGTACCCTCTGTGTGAAAAATTTTCCTCTTATGTCTTTTTTATATTTTTTCCCTCTCACCTTAAACCTATGCCCCCTTGTTTTGGACTCTCCCTACCCTGGGGAAAAGACCTGGGCTATTCACCCTATCCATGCCCCTCATGATTTTACAAACCTCTATAAGGTCACCCCTCTGCCCCCGATGCCCCAGGGAAAATACCTCCAGCCTATTCAGCCTTTCCCTTTAGCTCAAACCCTCCAACCCCGGCAAATGCTTGTAAATCTTTTCTGAACCTTTTAAAGTATTCTTTATGTTCCTTAGTTTTTAACAAATGGTCATTGCTGAGTTGTCACAGGTGCCTCTGCGATCCATTTGGCAGTAGAAGTCAGTACCATAAGGAGCGTAGGAGAGAAAAACAAAGCAATGAGTAAACAAGCTGCAGAGGGAACTGGCACCAGCAGCAGGACTGACTTTACAAAGTTGTCACGGTAAAATACATGACACGACAGCTGAGATTGTCCCCAGCTGCTGTGTCCATTCATTCACTGGAGTTAAGCCAATGCCTAGACCAGCCTTAGGCTTGCTTTAAATAGCAGGCTATTTCTGGTTAAGACCCCAGGCCCCCACTGAAAGCACAGGGGCTGAGCAATTGTCCCTCTTTCACATGGTTTGACATTGCAGCTGTGCTTTGCTGAAATCTCCTCCAGCACACCTCAGCCTTTATTAGAGTGAATGTTCACTCTAGCACCCAGCTTACATCAGGTGGTCACTTTGAACTTAGTCCAAATATTGGTTTAGCCTTAAATAACAACTTTAAATGCACGATAACAGGAAAAATAATTTCACGTCAGAATCCCACAGGCCAGAATTCAAGGAGCATGTCAGCTCAATGGGAATTTTTATTTTAATTCACCTCTGGGATGCAGGCATCACCGACTGGGCCACCATTTATTACCTGTCCCTAAATGCCCCTTGAGAAGGTGGAGGTGAGCTGTCTTCTTGAACTGCTGCAGTCTATGTGCTGTGGGTAGACTCAGAATACCGTTGGGGAGGGAATTCCAGGAGTCTGACCCAGCAACAACGAAGGAATGACGAAATATTTCCAAGTCAGACATTAATACAGGTTGATTGGTTTTACTTGCAGGAAGAGGTTTTTGAACTTGGTAAGGCATGAGTAAAATCTAGTAACCTGTCACACGTCTAACTGTCGCCCAATGATTCTGATGGAAATTATACCTGTGTGTGCAGCTATGTGTGAACATGAATTGAGCATGGAATCAGGCTCATCTGTGATTGAATTTCTGTCCAACTGTCCTTGACTGGGCTGGTGCACTAAGAAAAGTCCCCTGTGTTGGTGTAAGGGGGTAGCCAGCACCTATAGGACCAGCAAAAGTCAACATCAGGAGAAGGCTGGGACTATTTTCACTGGGGCATAGGGGTTTGAGAGGTGACCTTGTATAGGTTTATAAAATCATAAGGGGCATTGATAAGGTGAATAGCAAAGGTCTGTTCCCTAGGGTGGGGGAGTTCAAAACTAAGGGCATATTTTTAAGGTGAGAGGAGAAAGTTTTAGAAAGGACACGAAGGGCAACTTTTTTACACAGAGAGTGGTTCGTGTGTGGAATGACCTGCCAGAGGAAGTGATGGATGCAACTACATTTACAACATTTAAAAAACATTTGAATAAGTGCATAAATAGGAAAGGTTGAGAGGGATATGGGCCAAATGCAGGCAACTGGGACCAGTTTAGTTTGGGAACATGGTTGGCATGGACTAATTGGACTGAAGGGTCTGTCTCTGTGCTGTATGACTCTAAGAAGAGGGATTTCCATCTCCCTCTTTATTTTCGGGCTTCAATGATTAGTAATGAATAGAAATGTTTCTTTTTGAAATGACTTTGCTCCAGTTCTGTGCCTGAAGCCTGATTTTTGAGCAGTTGATCGGTGATCCTGATTAAAAGAACCAAAAGCCAAATTGAAATATTTAAAATCCAGGTCCTAAAATATATTTATGCCTCATCTGAAGCCAACTTAGTCCTCTGCTGCACCGAGCAGGCAGTGTGACGAAACATTGAGCTGCTGGTTGAGCCGTTCTGAAAGGAATCATTGCAGGGCTACCTCATATGAGGGAGACAACTCTTCCTCTCTGCCACCTATCCTACACTGTTTGTTTGCAGCCCACGCCACCTTTTGTGACCCCACTCAGCTCCACTGAGAAACGAGCTGCCTTGCTTTAGCCACCATAGTTCAAGACGCTGCTGGGTGCCCGCTGTTCATATGATCATGATGCCTGACCACATAAATGGCTTCATGACAACATCATTGGGCACATGGGCTGAACGTGGGATTTACGCCACCTCAAAGTTTGCCTGCCGCCCTTCGGAGCTTTTGAATGTACTTTGTCACGGCCACAAGGGAAGTGCAGGTGTGAAATGGCGTGAAGGAGAAATGGCAGGGCGAGCCAGGAGTCATTGGCCATGGGCAACTTGGGGGGAGCACAGCGGATTTCAGAGGTGTGAAGGCTGCAGGCAGTTGATTGAATATATAATTATTCCCCACAGTGCTGGTGCACAGCAGAGAGCCCTAACAGGGTCTGCATATCAAAAGCACACAGCAGTGCTGACAGTCCGTGCAGAATGTAAACCAGCAGCATCTCGCTGGGGATCAAACCACGAGCAGTAAGTAGCAAAATGTGATGCTGATCCTTATCCAGAAGGTAGACCTCCTACACCCATCTACCAGTCTGCCTCTCTGTAGGAAAAATGTAATGTTAGCTACATTTTGTCTTGATGGAAAGCTTCTCTCCACCAGAGAGGGAGGCAATACCCTAGTGGTATGTTAACCCAGAGACCCAGATAATGTCCTAGGGACCTAGGTTCAAATCCCACCATAGCAGATGGTGGAATTTGAATTCAATAAATATCTGCAATTAAGAATCTAATTATGACCATGAGTTAATTGTCAGGGGAAAAGCCCGTCTGGTTCACTAATGCCTTTTAGGGAAGGAATCTGCCATCCTTACCTGGTCTGGTCTACCTGTGACCCCAGACCCACAGCGATGTGGTTGACTCTTTACTACCCTCTGGGCAATAAGTGCTGCCTAGCCAGTGATGCCCTCATCCCATGAATGAATAAAGAATATCTGATTTCCATTAAAGTTTTTTAAAATCTGCATGTATAACCCTATTACATCAGTGTAACAGACTCTAGACCAAAATATACAGGCCATTTGGCCCACTGGCCCACGGCAGCAATTATGCTTCACACAGACATCCTCTTTCTTTGCCTCTTTCATCAACATATCTTTTTATTCCTGTCTCGCTCTGTGCTTCTCATCATTGACGTTAATGCCATCCACCTCAAGTAATTCTTGGGGCATGGAGTTTTGCATTCTAACCACTCTCATTGAAGAATTTTATCTTGGTTTAGATGACTTACATTCTTTAGAGAGCACCTTATTATAGTGTTGAGAAATGTCTTTCAGCCAGCTTGTTTGCTTTTAAGTGATTGTTTTACACAGAATAAGAGGGTCCAATTTACAATCCGTGCAACTATTGGTAATCCAGTCCACACAACCCAGACAGTACAGTTCCAGTTTTATTTATTTTTACCAATTTTTAAATACTCCAGTTTGAAATCCGTGGGTTTGGTGGTTACTAAAAGATTTGGTTTTTAGTTGCCTCCTTAGTCAGGTTAATTCAAAATCAATCCTTATTTCAGTTGTCCATCTCTGTTAAATAATTTCTGACTGGTATAATGGTGTGTATGTGTTGATTTTAGTCACCAGAATGAGAGCTCTTCAATGATCACAGTGTGCAGCTCTTTGAAATCAATGCTTGTGATTGCCCAGGGGGAAAATGAGGAGAAACACCTCATCTGCTGTATCCCAGGAGAGGACTGGGAGGAAGGAGACCATCCAACCACAGGCAAAACTCCTTGACATTCCAGAATGGAAGCATAATACAACGTTAACTGCAAGGATAAGGTAAACTCTCCGATTCACAGCAGAGGTTCTTTTTAAGCTTTTCTGAAGAAGGGTCTAGGCCCGAAACGTCAGCCTTCCTGCTCCTGTGATGCTGCTTGGCCTGCTGTGTTCATCCAGCTCTATATCTTGTTATCTCTCTTCTTTTTAAGCTTGTCAGGTTTGACCAAGAGAATAAAGATAAACATTAATGGCTACCATCCATTCCCTCCAAATGCCCTAGATTTTGTACATAAAACGATAGCAGTTCTAGCAATATCTAATGAGGGAAACAGAGTTAACCCTTTGAGCTGAACTTAAATTGATCTTTAACTGTGTTTCTCCCTCCTGAGGTGGTTTCCAGCATTTTCTGTTTTTTTTTAAGTTTTCCAGCTTTGCAGTGTTTTGATTTTAATCAGATGGTGCTATCCAGGATGTCACTCCAGACCAGAATTGAGGGAGGTTTGCTCTGTTCAATTGGTGTCTTTAGAATGAAACATTAAAAGAAACCTCCATCTGCTCTCTTTGATGAATATAAAAGATCTCATGGCCACTAATCCCACAGGAGTGGGGGGGAACATTCTCTTCAGTGACCCATACCTTATTTATCCTCAGTCAACATCAATAGAAATGATTGCCTGGTCATTATCTCATTGCTCTTTGTGAAGCTTTCTGTGTGCAATCATTTGTTGTGTTTTTTACATACCAACAGTGACTAAACTTCCAAAGTACTTTGTTGTTTGTAAAGGGGTTTGGAAAGTTATAAAAGACATTAGAAACTTTGAAAGTCAAGTAAGATGCTATGGAAATGCAAGTATTTCTTTCTTCCAAATGGGCCATCAGCCTTACTACTCAGAAAATCAAAAGTGACTCAGAGAGTGTTGGATTGCTGATGAACTAATTATTAAGATCACTGCTGCGCTCCAGACAGCAGGTCATTTTTCCTGATCCTTGCTACCACTTTGGGCACCAATAGACATAGACTTATGTTGGCTCCCAGTCCTTCAACACAAACTTAAAACTCTTATCATTTTATTCAAAGCCTTCTTCCGCCTCTCCACCTCCTTAGCTCTGTAACCTCCTCCAGCTTTACAATCCTCCCAAGATCTCTGTTCCAATTCTGGTCTCCTACCCTCAATTTCCTTCACCTCTCTAATGACAGCCATGCCGTCAGTTTCTTAAACTCTGATATTCTATCTTGAAAGTCTTAAGATATTCTTTGAAACTTGCCTCTTCATCCAAGCTTTTAATCAACTGTCAAAATATATCGTTAGGTGGCTCAATGTGAAATTTAGTTTGATCACGCTCCTGGAAGACAACTAGGGATATTTAAGTACTTTAAGGATGCTAAATTAATTGCTGTTTGGACATAAATCTGTCGCTCTTTGAATGTGTGTGCATGCTTATTGCAGTGCTTCTGTTCCCCAGTCATTTCTCACTGATAAAAGCACATTAAATAGACCTTACTTCCCTTTTCACCCGATCCGTTGAGTTATGAGTCATTCTGTGTGAAGATGGCGTGTGAACTAACAATGTAATGACTCCAGGTTCAAGTATTTAATTCATCTGAGATTTCTGTTAATTAAGCCTGAGATGTGTTCTCCCCCAGTGGAAGGGTAATGGTCCAGGGAATTAGAAAACACACAGAGTGCCAATACTCGCAGACTTGTCAAGAGCCTGCTGCAGCAATATTAATTGTTGCTCTTACCACAATACGAAAAGGATGCACCATTCAAAAATCATTGATGCAGCTGAACCTAGGTTGCAACTGGTTCATTGTCTTGAGGGAGTATTTCAATTCGCAAGGCTGGCGAGAGGAAAATCTTGAGCAAGTTGGAATGGGTTCGGTATAGCAAAGTGCTAAATACTCTGAAATAACAAGCTTGAGAAGAATTACAACTTATAGCAGATAGCAAGCGGGCTAAGGAGAAAGAAGGAATTAAAGAAATTGACAGGAAGTGGGTAGAGGGGAGTACGAGCATGACAGGGCTGCAGAGTATGTCTGTGAATCTGCAATGCATCCGAAATAAATGTTGAGAACAGGGACCATTATCTAAAATGGAGAGTTGTGAGGTTCCAATGTTGACTGAACCTTAAATCCAGTAAGGCGGAACAGAAAGATGGTGCATGACAGAACACTAGAGCAGAGAAATCAATTCTTTTTCAACTTGGCAACACTTGGAGTGTTATAAGCCTGGAACTGCTTTTATTTTCTCCTTGTATAAGTAATTTGGACGTAGGCACAAAAAGGAATGCTAATGAAGATTGCAACTGATACCAAATTAGGGACATGGCAAATACAGATTGCAGAAGTGTGTAAACAGGGAGGCAGAATTGGCAATAATGTGGTGATTTGAATAGAGATTATTGCAGCAAAACTGTAAAGAATTAATTTCTGCAAACAGGATACTGAAGGATTAATGCCTTAAATAGCAACACTTTTGACAAAATTGAGGAACAGAGATGCCTAAGCATCCAGATAATCAGATCTATAAAATGCAGGATTAATAGGCCATAAATCAGACAAATGGAATTATGGATGTTATTCACTTGGACATTGAATATAGAGGCAAAGACACTGCGTTGAATTTGGGTAATAGATTGATTAGGTTACATGTGGAGTTTTGTGTACAGTATTGAATAGGTAAGATATTAGAGCCATGGGTGCAAGAATTCACTGGGAATGAAGGGTTATGGTTGTGAACAATCACATTTTGGACCTTTCCCAAACAGAGGAGGATAAGAGATCGAGGGGTGAAGGGTAAAGAAGGTATCCAAATTCTGAATAGATTGCAGAAATCGAAAAGTGAAAGATGATTGTCCGTTAGTGCCAATGCCACTCGTGATTATTTCCACAGCTGGGTACTCAGTAACAAGGGATGTCGATTTAGGATTAGCACTTGAGGAATGAAAGGGAAATTGGCAGAAAATATTTTTCATCCAGCATTACCAGAACATGAGCTACTGCTTTATTGAGACCATACAGCAATTCGTAAGGGAACAGAATAAATATTTGGAAAGGAAAATTTTAAAAGCCTACATAGAAGGAAGAATCAATTTTAAAAGCCTATATAGAAGGAGGAATCAAATAGGAATAGATTAGTTCTTCACTTGAAAAGATAACACTACGAAACAATAGCCTACTTAGAATCTTCAAATAGTGCACTGATGAGGGAGGCTGTTTAGCTCACCATATTTATGCTAGCTCTTTGAAAAAGTTCTCTGTCACTCTCCCCTGTGCTTCTGCCCATAGCCTAGCCATTTCTTTTTCTTTTTCATGTGTTTGTCCAATTCCCTTTTGAATGTTATGATTGGATCAGCTTTTACCAGCTTTTCAAACCAAAACATTTCAAGTTATAACAACTCACTGTGTATCTAAAGGACGTCCTATCCCCTCTGTTTTTTTTTGCCAATTACCTCTCCTAAATCTATATTCCTGATTTTGGATTCTGGATGCACTGATGGCAACCCTTTCTCTATGTCAACTCAATTTTGAATGCATGTGTTAAATTAGCTCTTAACTTACCTTACACTTCCCTAAGGAGAAAAATCCTAGCTTCTCAAGTCTGTCCATGTAACTGAAATATTTCATCAATGGTGCCATCCAACATGAGATTGTGGCGTGGTAGTAGTGTCACTGGACAAGTAAACCAAAGGCCCAGATTAATGCTCGAAGGAACATGAATTCAAGGCAGCTAGTGAATTATAATTCAATTAATAAATCTGGAATATGAAGCTAATTTCACTCATGATGTCATGACAACTATTGTTTTTTGCTGTTGTTGTAAACCCATCTGGTCCACTCATGTCCTCTAGGGAAGGAAGTCTGCTATCATTAGTTATAAAAAGTAAGCTCTGATGAAGAGTCATCTAGACTCTAAACATTAGCTTGCTCTCTCTCCTCAGATGCTGTCTGACCTGCTGTGATTTCCAGTATTTTTTTGTTTTCAGTATAGATTCCAGCAACTGCAGTAATTTGCTCTTGCCATCTTTACTTGGTCTGTCTATATGTGTCTCCTCCCACAGCAACAGTGTGGAGCTGGAGGAACACAGCAGATCAAGCAGTATCCGAGGAACAGGAAAGTTGATGTTTCGGGTTGGGACACTTTATCAGATCTGATAAAGGGTCCCGTTCTGAAATGTCAACTCTCCACGTCCTCTGATGATGCCTGACCTGCTGTGTTCCTCCAGCTCCACACTGTGTTGACTCTGACTCCAACATCTGCAGTTCTTGCTATCTCTTCCCACTGCAATGTGGTTAACAATGTGGAGTCAACCTGAATTAGCTTGGCAAAAAAAAAGTTCAAGGCAATAAGAGATGGGCAGCAAATACTGGCCTAATCAAAGGGGCCCACATCTCATGAAATAAGGAAGAGAAAATGAACTTGTACATTTTTCAACATCCCTACTCAGTCTGTTACTTGCTCCTGCTGTGCCCACAATTCGACATAACAATATAGCTAAGGTTAAACCAGTGACTTATAAATGTTGGTCATCACTTTCTTGCTGTTGTACTGTGTGCATCATCTGTTCTGTAATTTCAATGATTTGTACAACAGAATCTCCATTGTCTGCCTTTATAGGGACCTCTGGTGGATAAAAGAGACTGGCAAATAAACCAAAAGATCCAGGATGATACTTTTATTTAGATTATTTGACAAAAAGGTTTGCAGCATGTGCAGATAGGGTCGTGTTCTTACTATCTACAAAATCGATTGTTCATGATAAGCCACCTGACAATTTGAATCATACAGTCAGAGCACGAAGCTAAAAAATCATACAAAGATAATACTTCAAAATTACTTAATTGGTTGTAAAGTGCTTTAGGGTTCTCCTGAGGTTATGAAAACCACTATATAAATGTAAATTTTTCTTCGAAGCTTTCCAGATAACAAAGTCCACCCGGAAGTGAATTCCTAGCGAATAATTAGCCCTTCTGTAGGTTTAAGAACCTGGAGTCTGTGAACAAAAAAACAGTCCATTGAATTTTAGCAAAACTGAATCTGAACTCCCAAAAATAATTCATTTGAGATTTTGAGGAAAGGGGAAATGGGATTAAGAATATTGGATAGTAGAAATAGCTAAGACGGGGGCTGGAGCTAGTAAAGGCTAATCACAAATTGGGGAGATGGTGGTGCAGCACTAAAAGCATTGGAGAGTTGCTTAGTAATTCTGGAAGCCAAAGCTAATGCTCTGGGAACATGGGTGCAAATCCCACCATAGCACCTGGTGGTATTTGTATAAAGTTGGTTTTGGTGACCGTGAAAGCTATTACCAATTGCTGTAAAAACCAATCTGGTTCATCAATGGCAACTTGGGAAAGAAATCTGCCATTCGTACTTGGTCTGTCTTAAATATGACTCCAAGCCTTCAGCAATATGATTGAATCTCAACTACCTTCTGAAAAACCGTTCAGTTTAAGGGAATTGTTATGGGCAACAAATACTGGCCCTACTCATGACATCACATCCCATGACAGAATAAAGAGAAGCAAAATATTTCTGCTTGTTTTGGCTGCTGATGATACATTAACAATAAAACATTGCTGGTCTACCATTCATGTTATTTAAATATTGTAATTTTACATTTTGTTGGGAATGGTACTGCAGTGTTTGTTTACACAGCTGGAATGAGACCCAGGCTGACATGAGCATGTGGTGCTAGCGAGTGGATGGGTAGATGACTACCACCATCATCCTTTCCTAACTGGGTTTGTAGGGCATACTTGGTTGAAAGTGGTAGAAGAAAACCATGAAGTATAGTCTGACATGAAGAGGTTCTTGTCTTACACAAGATAGCAAACAGGTACAAATTACAGTAGTAAGATAGACATTGTTACAAAGATTATGGGGAAACCTTCCTTAAAGTATGGAGTGGTTCTGCCTATCCATGCCCAAGTTATTACGACAATATCAGATTATGTGGGGCTTAATGCAGTCTTCAGCATTAACCTTTTCAGAACCATTAACTTACACAACACAGCTCATGCCTGATGAGGGGAGGAAGGGGCATTCTGTGGCTTTGGTACCATTGTTTGAAGCTGTCTTTGTTTCTGGTGGTTATCTACTTCTTGAGTTAGTATTTCATCTACCGGAGGCAGTAGAGATGCTGCACAGTCATGGTGTCTAAATGTTAAGGCTCCATGTAATGTACGTTAAATCTCCTCCTGATTTATATTGTGATCTTGTGTGTCTCATGGTTTTGGGGCTTTTACAATAAAATGCTGTCTAGTATGTGACACAGTGTGACCTGCATTGCTTTTGGGCGTGATCTTACGAATGTTACAATCCTCCCCTTTATACTGCAATACTGCAACATGTATGTAACAATACTACTGCCTCATAAATGTTACAATATTCCCTGTATATTACAAAAGTGGCTCATGAATGTTAATACACTGCTTCATGTATGTATGATACTACTTGTGTACTGTGTATTCCAAAAGGGATTGGTGATATATCAGGAGGATAAAGTTGCAGAATTATGGGGAAAGAATAAAGGAGTGAAACTGATCAGATAGCTTTTTCGAAGGGCTGGCAGAAATATGAAGGGATGAATGATCTTATTCTGGGGCGCATACTTCTATAATTAATGTGTTACTCCTGAGCTGGACCAATTGCTGGAAGATGTAATTTGCATGTAGTGTAAGACTAAATGTATTTAAATATACTCAATCTCAACCTTCATTTTACTGTCATTTAAAATGTACTTTGTCCTCTTTTCCATTCCTAGAAAAGACATACTGAAATTTCTGGATGCAGAAAAGGACATTTCGGTTCTGAAGGGCAAACTGAAGGCAGGGGATATTATTCATTATATATTTGACAGGGACAGGACCCTGAATATATCCCATAGTCTGTACGAGCTGTTACCAAGAACATCGCCAATGAAAAATAAGCATTTCAAAGAGTGTGCAATTGTAGGAAATTCTGGCATTCTGCTCAAGAGTGGCTGTGGACAAGAGATTGATGATCACCAATTTGTGATAAGGTAATACTTAGAAAAATGGTGCACACATAGAAACATTACAAACATCATAAAACACATACATATTGATATTGAGGTGCTTGGTTGTATTAAAACTGCAAAAAGAAGATACTTGGAATCCTTTGAATGGAATCCCAGCTTAATTCCTTAGTGGTTTCATGACTTCAGAGTCAGAAACATGGCACTTTTTCTTTTTGTGATTTAGGGAAGGAAATCTACCATCCATACCTGGTCTAGCCTACACGTAACTCCAGATCTGCAGTTAACCTTTAACTGCCCTCTGAAATAGCCAAGCAAACCATTCAATTTTAGGGCATTCAGGGATGGGCAACAAATGTGATGCAACCCATGAAGAAGAAAATGATTAGTTCAAAAAGCAAGATGGACCATATTGCTGAAAGAAACAAGATATGCTCTTGAAGCTTTTCATCTTGCAGACTTGAGGACAGATGCAAGAATACTGGATTTCAAAGGAAATAACAATTTAAACTGTGCAAGTAAAGCTTTGAATTTTGAACTTTGTCAGCAATCCTCAAGTTATGCACTATCAAGTGACAAAATGGTTTGTATTCTAAATTGTACTTGGTAACCGTGATAATATAGTTTGTGTTTTACTAAACCGCTAATCAGAGATGGACTTATTCAATTATCAATAACTTTAGATTGATTGAATATCCATTACACTGAGGTGGAATACCCTATATCAATCTTGTATTAATTCATTTTATATTAAGGTAAAGTACAGATACACAAATTACTAAAGTAGTTAGTAAAGGCAGCTTATACTAGACTTTTTAAAACTGGCAAGCAAAATTCTGACTTCATTTCTGGCATTTTTGAATTGAGAATCATAGGATCACTACAGTGTGGAAGCAGGCCATTGAGTCCACACTGACCCTCCAAAGAGTGTCCCATCCAGACCCATCCTCCCATCCTATCCCTGTAACCCTGCATGTCCCATCATTAATCCACCTAACCTGCACATCTTTGGACTGTGGGAGGAAACAGGAACATTCGGAGGAAACCTACGCAGGCACAGGAAGAATGTGCAAACTCCACACAGACAGTTGCTTGAGACTGAACCAAACCTGTGTACGTGGCGCTGTGAAGCAACAGTGCTAACCACTGAGCCATCGCACTGCGCTTATGTTAAATTTGTTCTAGCCTTGGTTTGATGCTTTTTGGAATAGTATGGATTTTATGGTCTTCATATTTTTACTAAGATACAGAGGCACTGAGGACCATAATTATGAGATGGTCACTAGTACATTCAATTGGGAAATCATGAGACACATCTTCACTCAAACAGCGATGAGAATGTGGAAGTCATTACAATAGTTCAGGTGAATAATATAGATGCAGTCAAGCAGAAGCTACATAAGCATGAGGAATAAAGAGGGCATGTTGATGCTATAGGATGAAGAAATGGGAGGAGGTAAATCAAAGAGTTGAGACAAGGCAATAGAGGAAGTTATTAATATGGGGAATGATAACCAGACCCTGACAGGATGGAAGAGAGTAGAAATCTAAGAGCGAGTCAGAAGATACGCTGAGGTTACAAAGGTAACAAAATGATAAAACTAAAGGGGCTATATCTGAATGCATGCGGCATTTGAAAGAAAACAGATTAACTGGTAGTGCAAATGGAAATGAATAAGAGCGATCTGATAGTCATTACAGGGACATAGATTGGGATTGGAATATTGCAGGTTTGATGACCTTTCAGGAGAATAGGAAACTAGGAAGAGGTGGGGGCATGGCTCTGTTGATTCATGATATTGTGAGCATAATATAGAGGGATGACCTAATTTTAGGATTAGGATGTGGAAGTAGTTTGGCTGGAGGTGAAAAGTTATAAAGGCAAGAATTCACTTGTAACACTACTGTGAAGTGTTGAGTAGGTTGGTTACAGGATTATGCACTCTGTCCAATGGCTCACCTTTGACACTGTGTGAAGTCTTGATGAAGTCTTTCAGATGTGCTCTGTGACTTTCTGAATGAATGTTCTCCACTTTGCTTGGTTGATCAGGGTCTCCCATGAGCCAATGGTTATATTTGACATTTTCTGGGTTGTTTTGATGATATGCCGTGTTCTCAAGACTAAAGGATTGTGAGCTGCAAAGTTCTGATGGCATTGCATTAAGTCCCATCATGAAGTTTTAATTGGCTTAACTGTTAAGCAGCAAAAGCACTTCTGCTTCTGTGGGAATTTAAATCTTCACCAGAATAGTCTGTGTTTACTTTTAACAATTCAAAAGACATTTAAATCGGGGAACGGTCCTCATAGTTACAGAGCTGCCTTTCCAAAGCCAATTTATTGTTCATAATCTGACTATAATCAGGATTTCCATAGCTTTCCATGCTTTATACTTTGTTCTTGCATCTTGGGTTCCATTTGCTGCCAATTCAATCCATTAAGACATCCTTATGAAAGCAGTTGGAATGTCTGAACTCTTGGCCTTTTTCCATTGTTCTAAATTTTCTTCTTTTCTTTGTCTTCTGATTGTGTTGATTCTTCAAGGATGCAGCTACTGGCTGAACTAAGCCAGTTCATATTGACGTTCCATTAATTCCTCTTTCAGATGCTATCTGACCTGTTGTACATTTCCAATATCCTGTGCATATGAAAGATACTTCGATAAATTCTTTACTTGCTTTCTCTTTCTCTCTTTTTCTTTCTTCCAATTTGGTTGAATGAAGGTGATGTACAGATCAGCTATGATCTCATAGAGTGGTGAAACAGGCTCAAGGGACTCTGTTTTCAAAGTATAATAAGTTTTAATTGACATCCACTCCCAGAAAGCTGCCTCTGCACCAGCTTCTTTTATATCTTGTTTGCATCGTCTGAATGTAAAAAAAGTATCTATGTGCTTCATTTCTTCTGGGTCCCTGCAGGGAATCATTGGCTCAGTTTATTCATTTTGGATCCTTGGTGAGTTCCACCTCCTCACTTACAGTCCCAGAAGGTGTGAAATCTGTGGTACCTGAAAACAGGATGGTTGCCAGCTCCATTCCTGGAGTTTCCATCGCACGAGCTCCTACCAGCAGTGCTGCCCCCATACTCTCACCATTGGTCATCCAACATATCTGACATCCCAGTGCCCCATCTTCCCTTGCCAATTGAGAAGCAATCAAACACATTGTTGCTGGTTTTTATGGTTTTTAATTCTCAATCAAACAGCCTTTATTTATCATCTATGCAAATTTTTGCATTAATGCGTGGAAAGTTTTAAGGAGAATTAAGACATGCTTTGTAATGTCCTGGTAATTTTATTCCTGAGTTACTTTGAGATTAATTCCTGGAGCCAAAACCAGCTTAGTGGATTGACAGTTGTAGGTAACAGGGACTGTCCTCATCTCTTGCCTTGATAACCGTCCCCTTTTCTGCTTCTCCCAGACCACTAACAGCCTTTAATACTGCAGTGAATTGGCCAATAACTGTTGAGAGCTGTAACCACCTTTGGAATCATGTTTATTACCACAACAATGTGGTTGATGATGTTGGAAATGCACAGTTTTTCTTCAGCATCTTGAAAGAGAACAGGAAGTTTAAGATTCAGGGTACAGATGCTTCCATCGCAACTGGAAGCGACTGAATCTTTTCTCAGGAGTAGAGAAATAAAGGGCGTGAGGCAGAATTAAGAATCGTGACTTCTGACATCTTTCACAGGAAAGTAAAGTAACTTGAAACTATATCGCTGTATTTTCCCAGTCACTGAGTTTAAATCTTGAAACTCCCCATCAAACACACTGCAGCTGTCCTTACACCCCAGGGACTGCAGCAGTTCAAGAAGGCTGCTCACCACCACCTTCTCAAGGATAATTAGCGATTTGCAATAAATGTTGCCCTGGCAAGTGAAACCCACATCCCATGAACAAATAAACAACAAATTTGAGGGAAAAGGTTTTGTTAAAGATGAAGAGAGGGAGACTTTTCTTTAAATGATAATTTTGAGATACACTTATGCAACAAATCCAAATAACAATGCAATAAATGACAGTTAATATTCAGTTGTACTGATTGAAAGCATTTGGCCAGGAGAATACATTAATCTCTTCCTCAAATTGTAACCAGTAAATGCTTGATGAACTACACAAGTGGCACTTTGATTTAACACCACATTCAAAGGAACAGTGCCACTGACAGAGCAGCACTCCCTTGGGAGCCCAATAAAGCATCAGTGAGATTGTGTGATCAAATCCTGACCATGGGGCATGAATTTTCAATATTGTCAACTGAGGCAAACTGATACTATAGACTCAATGCCATTTGTGGAGATGGGTCAAAGGCTTTTTTCTTAATTCATACTAATATATGTCCTTCCAGTCCAGACAGGGTGATAAGTCATATGCTGTTGTGAAAACTGTGAATGATTAACTTGCAGATTTATTCTTTTCAAAGATGCAATCTTGCCCCAGTGGAAGAGTATGCACAAGACGTTGGGTTGAAGACCGATTTAGTAACTATGAACCCTTCGGTGGTGCAGCGTGCGTTCGAAGATTTGAAGAACGAGACATGGAAGGAGAAGCTGCTTCATCGGCTAAAAATGTTGGATGGCGGAATTCTCTGGATCCCGGCTTTTATGGCTAAAGGGGGAGAGGAGCGAGTAGAATGGGTGAACAATCTCATCATAAAGCATAAACTCCATGTGCAAACTGCTTACCCATCACTGAGGCTCCTACATGCTGTGCGGGGGTGAGTTCCAGCTCTGCTAAGGAGACCATGTCTGCCCTGTGACCCAGCCCCCAAACTGTTAGCTTGATTTGTTTTCCGATTGTAAAGTTGCTGCCGTTCAGAGGGAGTACTGTCTCCTCAGACAGACTTGTCTAGCTTCTGTTGCATGCACAATGCTCTTGGCAACAAGCTACAGCTTGCCACCAGTTAATTAGGTCACATTCCCAGTGGAAAATAATGAGATTAAAGTGAAGGTGTCAAAATTTGCGGTGCTTGAAATGTTTGTGCACTGGTGGTTTAGAGACAGATTGCTCATTGCCCATTCATGGAGGGTCTGGCAGCTAGCAAAGAGTGAAACTAGAGAGGGTTCAGAAATGATTTACGAGGGTGGAGGGTTTGAGCTATAGGGAGAGGCTGAATAGGCTGGGGTTATTTTCCCTGGAGTATCAGAGGCTGAGGGGTGAACTTGTAGAGGTTTATAAAGTCATGAGGGGCATGGATAGGGTAAATAGACAAGGTCTTTTCCCTGGGGTGGGGGAGTCCAAAACTAGAGGGCATATGTTTAAGGTGAGAGGGAAAAGATAAAGAAAGGACCTAAGTGGCAACTTTTTCAAGCAGAGGGTGGTGCGTGTATGGAATGAGCTGCCACAGGAAGTGGTGGAGGCTGGTACAATTACAATATTTTAAAGGCATCTGAACAGTTATATGGATAGGAAGGGTTTAAGAGGGATATGGGCCAAAAATGGGACTAGATTTATTCAGGGTATCTGGTCAGCATAGATGAGTTGGACCAAAGGGTCTGTTTCTTTGCTGTATATCTCTGTGACTCTGTGAGAATCAGAGTGAGTAAAATTCTTTGTACTAAAAAGAAGCTCTCAATACTGTTGCAGTGACAAAGATTTTTAATCAGTGGTTGAAAGATTCCAAAGGGTAAAAATCTGAGCTCCAAATTTACCAAATATTTACCAATTGACCACAAATCTCTTTCATTAAAACTCAGTTTACAAAAACTGAAAATCTTACTTGCAAACATGATCCAATGTAACACATCAGAAGCCAGTTCTGATATTGCAGGTACAAAATCAATGTTGCCACTTCAGTGCAGTACTGAGTGAGTGTGCACTCCCTTCATTTGAGACCTTAATTGTGGCCCAGTCTGCTCTGAGGTGAACATAATAGACTCTGATGAGCTATTTTGAAGATTATGAGGGAGTTCTCTCCAGTGTTCTGGCCTCTATTTATCCCTCAATTAACATCATACAAACAGTTTAGCAGGTCAGTATCACATGACAGTGAGGGTCTGTTGTGTGTGTGATTAGCTGTAGTGTTTCCTACATTACAGCGGTGGCTACACTTTAGAAATGTTGTGAGAGTTCTGATGGTCATGTCAAGTGCATACCTTCATTAGGTGGAGGAGCATTGGGCTTGACTAACACTGTCTAAACACTGACTAACACAAAATGTTTAAACATACTGGGAGAGTGCCAACTTTGATTTTTGCCCTCAGGACCTGGAGTGTGACTTGAACTTTATAATTCAGCAGGGATTGTGGGCTAGAGTGCTATCATCTATGCCACACTTTACACAGGACTGTCTATCCATTGCAATGACTGAAAAGTGAAGTGAAAAATGAAAGATGAATTGTGCCTGCTTATTTCATTGTCATTATGCTCCAACCATTTCATTTGTACAATTGGTCCTGGTGTTCACATCTGACCATGTCAATGTGCCTATAGATTCACCCCCTGCTTTGTCCAGGGGCATCAGGCCAATTACAGCTGAAATTATTAAGCTAAGCATACAATACATTGCATTTATATAACACCTTTAACATAGTAAAATGTCAAAAGGCAAAATTTGACACTGAGCCATGTAAGAAGATATTAGGACAGAAAATCAACCTTTCTTGAAGAGGTGGTCTACAGAGTATTGATAAAGAGGAGAAAGAGGTAGAGCCGCTTAGGGAGATACTGGGCCCAGGAAGCTGAAATTTGTGGCCACCAATGACATAGGAGAGGAGGGGATGGTGAGTAACATGAGAACATGGAGGGATTGGAAAACAAGGATGATATTTTAAGAACTGAGCTGTTGCCAGTTTGCAAATCAATGGCAGTCAGTTCATGCAGGTATAACAGGTGAGCAGGACTTGCTTCAGGTTAGAATACAGAAAGCAGGAATTCAGGTGAGTTCAAGTTTCCAATGAGTAAATGATGGGAGCCTGGCTGGGAGAGCATTTGTATAACCAAGATTAGATGTCGAGTCAAGTCATCATAGTCTTACCAGGCCATCGGGCTGCTCTCTTATTAGAAAGAGATGATTGTTGGTGATTTAACCTAGGGCCACCATACCTCAGGTGAGGGGAGAGGTTGAAAAGAAGACTCCTGCATGGTAACCTCAGCTGGTGATGGGAATTGAACTAATGCTGTTGGCATCACATTGCTTTGCAAACCAACCATCCAGCCAACTGAACTAATCCAAACCCCCCTCCAGACTAGATGTAGTGAAGCCAGACCGAAGTGTTCCAGAATAGGTGAGCTGGTGGAGATGGGCTTTGATTTAGGTGAAGTTTAGATAAAGCCTAGTTGATGGCCATGTGATCGGAAGCAGAGAGTGAGACAGATGAAAAATGAAAGCTGACCCTCCTGTGTGCACATTGACAGAGTTGCAGTCTTTCCTTTGAGATGTGAAACCAAAGTCCTACCTGTTTGCTCAGGTTGATGTAAAACATACCTTGTTACTGTTTAGAAGTGGATTTGGGAGGTTGTTCCTAGTGTCCTGACCAATACCTATCTCTTAATCAACATCATAAAAACAGATTATCTGGTCATTATCATATTGCTAACCACATTCATACAAATGTTTGTGAAATAGAAATATTAATCTATGATGGTGACACAAATAAAGGAGAAGTAAAACAAATCTTTTTGGGGAGGCTTTCATCAATTGCATTTAGTTGTCACTTGTGCAAACACATTCCATGTTTACAGTGTTTCTAACCCTTTGGTATTTGAGAGAAGCCTTTTGCCAATTGGTCACAACCATTTAGGGCAAAACAACACAATTGCAGGAATCTTCCCCTCACCTCACCTCACCCTACCTCCTTCCTCTATGAATCTTTGACAATATACATCTGCTAATGGCTGAACATCTCTCCTCAACTTCCAAACAACACGAATGAACTTCTGGGCACTAGGCTGGCTACAGCAGTCATAGGGATATTGCTGTAATGAGTCATTCAATCCCATGCCTTCCTGCTCTTGATTTTTTTTAAATTGGCAGATTACTTGTCATGTACAGAAAGCAAATCATTTTAAAACGAGGACAGTTTTCCAGCTTCAAATCATATTAGCACCTCGGCACATAATGAGACTTGGCAACGATGTGGATTGACTTGGCTTTGTAACAAGATGCTCTGAGGCAAATTCACAAAATTAATTCTTTAACTAATCAGGAAAACATTTGCTGGCTAACATTACATTGTTGACTCTGAAGAGGAGAAAATGTTAGAATGCTAGTAGGAATTAATTTATTTTAAGTTTTAAACTTCCTGTACTTAGGTGTTAAAAATAATATTCCAAAAGAGTGTAGCTGGCTCCTCAATAATAAATGTAGCATTCATTGAAATCTAATTACTTGATTGATGTGGTTGGGATATAATGGCTTTGCAACACCTGTCTTAAATGCATGCTGATTCATTTTAAGCACCTTTGAATGTCGTAGTTAATGAAATTTTCATTTTGAAGAAAAAAAGCAGAATCAAAATGATCAAAAATCTCTCAAGTTCCTGGAATAATTGTTCTTTTCCACACCCCATTGTCTACCTCAGTTGACAACATTCCACCTTATCCCTGAGGGGTCCCACCTCTGACACTTTGAGTTCACACTGGTACTCTTCCCCATCTCCTCCATTCCAGTTCAAATCATGCCTCATCTTTTGCCGTTCTCACTGGTGCTTTTCTTTTCTCCACAGGTCACATTCCTGTTTCTCGTCCTTGCGTTCAAATTGCTTCATTTCTTCAGCCCTTGCTAATGCTGTATCCTCCTCTCTCTCACTCTCATCCTCACACAATCTTCCTCTCTCTCCTGTTATCCTCGCTGTTCATTCCACCATTGTTGGCCATGCCTTCAACTCCCCAGATACACTGGAATTGGCTTATCATCCCTCTGCTCTGCAATGCTATAGCAACTGGCAGAGTAAGAATAGAAGACCTGAAGAAATAAAGACTTTCATTTATATTGCATCTTTTAGTGTCTCAAGACAAGGTGTTTGACAGGCAGTAAGTTACTTGTTTTTTTCATAGTACCATTCATGCCATTGTCATGTTCAGTTTGGATCATTCCAATGCTCTTCTGGATGACCTTAACAATCCCCTCTTTGACCTCAGTTCACCCAAACCACTGCAGCACCTATCTCTCACTCCAATCTCACTGTTTTGGTCTGTTTTTATTATTTTTTCTGGTCTGTCTTGTTGGTGTTGGAAATGCAGATTCTTCTAAGGGTCAACTAGAACAGCTCTGGGGTTAATTGTGAGTAGGCGGTACTGATTTGGTTATGTATTCCAGAGTAGGGTTCTTCCCCAGTGGAGAGTTAGCTTATTGACCAGAAGATGGTCCAGAAGGGAAAGGTGGAAACTGGGGTTTGTCCTAAACTATAGACTAGCAATAAAATTCTCGTAAATTTCTGAAAGTCTTTTTGCTGGCCAACTCAACAAGTGAAGTTTGTTAAACATTCTTGATTCCTGATCCTCAATGCTTTAAGTTTAAAATTCTGAACCTTGACTTTTAATTCCACAAAAAAGGTTCCTTTTTAAGAGTTATCCCACAGGAAAGAGAACAAGGACGTTCATATCAGATGCACTCTGCCTTGACTAATTCTACTTCCCATTTTCCATTTTGATCTCCTCCAGCCTCTGCTCATCTTTTTTAGCCTCTGCCCTGACTTCTTTATAGGTAACCTATTCGTCCCCTAAGTTAATGGCTAGAACGCTAAGCTGAAAGAAATCCATTGGCAATTGCTCGGTAGCCAGCTTTGTAAGCTGTTCAGGCTCCATTAAGACCCAGTTGCCTAGCAACTCAGACCAGCTACACAATAATACCAAGCAAGTTAGATCGATGTCCAGTTTTAACTGTAGCATTTCAGATTGTCTGTGTGTTGTTGCAAAGCTCAACAGTGTGCACCAGAGGTTTTGACACTGTCAGTGGGAAATCTTTCACTTTAACTTGCCTTTGACTGGAATCTGTTATGAATCTCAATGCCTGTAAACACAAGAGCCAGTTAGAGGAATGAACCATGGCAGCTGGAGAATTTGTCCTTGGAGGGATGGCTTTAATTGTTACACTAATATGCTTGTACAGCCTAGTTCAATAACAGCCTTAGAACTTGAACAGAGAACACAAGATGAAATGGAGAATTGGAAAAGCCTGTTGATAGAAACTGGAGAAAAATGTGGACAGTTCATAAGGAGATCACAGTGGAAGGAAATATTTGCATTTATATAGCCACTGTCCTGACCGCACTGACTGCGTATGGCACTGGCAATAAATTTACACTTTTCCTTAGGCTCAAAAGTGGTGCCAGAGGATTGGAGAATTCTGAATGTTGTGCCCCTTTTCAAAAATGGGTATAAAGATAAGCCCAGTCAGTTTAATCTTGGTGGTAGGAGGTTTCTAGAAATGATAATTCATGGCAAAATTTGTAGTCACTTGCACAAACACAGGCTAATTATGGCAAGTCTGCATGAATTTGCCACTCCACAGATGGTGCCAGACCTGCTGAGCTTTTCCAGTACTCTGCTTTTCTTCTCCAGATCTCCCACATCCCCAGCATCCACAGTACAGTAGTTTGCTTCTATTTTGGATTTTTCAAAATTAATTTGCATTTAACTAACTTGCTTGAGTTTTTTTGATGAGGTAGCAGGAGGATTTCTGATGGTAGTGCTGTTGATGTTGTGTACATGGATTTCCAAAAGATGCTTGATATGTCACACAACAGGCAAACTGAGCAAAGTTTTTTTTTGCCTGCAGGGAGGTGCATAGCGGAGTTCCCCAGCAATTTGGTCTTCCTGATATGTATTTATTAATGATTTAATTTCTGTGACTGCCATTGTAGATTGTAGTGCATTGGTAAAGTAACTGATTTCCTTCTTCCTAGGTACTGGTTAACTAACAAGGTCCTAATCAAACGCCCCACCACTGGCCTCTTGATGTATACTCTTGCCACTCGGTTCTGTGATGAAATCCATCTCTATGGCTTCTGGCCTTTCCCTAAGGACCACAAGGGAAATGCAGTGAAGTACCACTACTACGACAGCTTGACGTATGAGTATAACTCAAGGGCTACTCCACACACAATGCCACTGGAGTTCAAGACACTGCGAAATATGCATCTCCAGGGTGCATTGAAACTCAACATCGGAGCATGCAGGTTGACAACATAGGGCTAACAAGAAGGCAAAGCAAGGGGGAAGACTTGCCTTTTGTGGCCAGTGTTATGGCATCATCAGAGAAAATGGAGGATAAAAAGCCAGCTTCATACAGAGGGAATCAATCACTCTGTGATTGGCCTCTGGTGGACAAGTGATCAACATTTGGTCACACTCTGAGAGCGTTAACATAAGAACGGGAACACAAACATTTTGTTATCATTGATGCAAGACAGAAGGCCCAACCTGAAGCTATGACCACAGGATTGGACCCTTGCAAGCAAAGTGTAGTGAGGTTCCTTCGAAGAGCTGGGTTTTCATCTGTTAAGGTGCAACCTGGTCAAAGCAGACATGTGTATAGAAACATGAAATATAAACACATGCATTTTGAGAAATATCATTTTATTTTGTCAGTAAAGCTTGTGAGGGACTTCTAGAAAGACACAGTGAATACAATGGCCAGCAAATACAATTTGAAAAAATAGCAAAAAAAACCTGTCTGGTTGGAACATATATTGGAAAGATTCTGACACTTAAATGTGAAGGACTAAATCTCAACAATTTACAAACTTGAATGAAAGAACTGAAAATTAATATTCATTGAGTAAGAATAATTCAAGAGAATGCTCCAAAAAGAAGAGTTTTAATCAAATGATTCATGCAAATTTTCCAGATCATTGTTATGTGAAATCTGCTATTGACTATTACAAAGGGACTGCTGCTCTCTGTAAAAGGCATCCGCAGTTGTCTACAATAGATATTGGCCACAAGACTGTGCTGCAATTTGCTGCAATATGGAGTCAGCTATTCCCTCTGGTGGAAAGAGTGCAGTCCTCTATAATAGACAAGGACTGCAATTCAATATTGCAAAGGGTCTATAATTCACTATATACAGGATTTGCAATCCACCACACTTGAGGGGCTGTAATTCACTATTTCATAGTCTCTAGTTCATTATATTACAGAGTTTCCAATTCATCATTTACAGGGTCTCCAATTCATCATATTACACGTATGCAAATCACAAATTACAGGGTCTGCAACAAAATACTTGGTCTGCAATGGATCTACAAGACATACAGAGTTGCTTTTCTCCATAGCTGTTTTTCAATATAAAGCACTCTCCAAAATACATGCATTGCTGATTCTGCCAATTCCCTACAATATTCAGAAAATATAGTCTCCTCTGTAGTTTACTGTTCTCTAGAACATGTGTACATAGGATTTGCTATTCCCAAAATCACACATGGAGATCTCCATTCTCTATGTCACACTTTCCGACTGCCTCATGATGTTTCATTCTGGTTCTCTATGGTTACCTCAGTTGCATAATTATAGGTGCTTATCTATATGGGTCTAACAACAAACCCTTGTGGAGCAAACATTTTGGTGCAACTACATTTAATGGTATCGGAAAAATTAATAGTGGAACCATCACAAGAAGGTGACCAAGATTCCGAAAGCTCCCGTATAATGGAAGTGGAAGGTAATTCTGAAGTGGATAATTCAGTGGTGAGCTGACAGTATACACTGGACCTGATATTCTCTCCAATTTACACAGGATCTGCTGTTGTCCATTATATACAGTCGGGCTGCTATTCTTTATAATGTACACAATGGTTTGTTATATACATTTGAGCTGATATTCTCTGCACTAAACCTTTAAGCTGCTTTGCCATTCTCTCTCAAACACAAACGTTTGCTGTTCCCCCAAATATACAGTAAAGTTGATACTTTCTATAACATGCACTGAGCCTGATTATTCTGGCACTAAAATATTAGCACAATAAAGCACAGAAGGAAACCAGTCAGCCCATTACACCAATCTTTTGAAAGAGCTGTCCAATGAGTCCCAATTTCTCCTAGCTCTGCACACGTTTTCCTTTACAAGTGTTTAACCAATTCTCTTTTAAAAGCTACTATTGAATCAGTTTCCACCAACCTTTCAGGCAACATGTTTCAAATCAAACCAGCTCATTGCATAACTATCTTTCAATTCCTCTGGTTCTTTCACCAATTCCTTTGTACACATGGTTTTCCAATCTGTACCATATGCATCAGACATGCTATAAGTTTTATTCATACTCTGCCATCAGGAGAAGCCATGGTGCTCTAATGAGCAAATATACTACATGGGGCTGCATGGTCAGACACATATGTTGTATTTATTGCATTTTGATATCACCCATGCCCAGGAACTTACATAGAATCATAGAATCCCTACAGTGTGGAAGCAGGCCGTTTGGCCCATCGAGTCCAAACTGATCCTCTGAAGAGAATCCCAACCAGAAACACCCCCTACCCTATCCCCATCCCCATAACCCCACATACCCCATGGCTAACCCACCCATTCCTGGACACTATGCGCAATTTAGCCTGACCAAACTATTTAACCAGCACATCTTTGGACTGTGGGAGGAAACTGGAGCACCCGGAAGAAACCCACGCAGACACGGGGAGAATGTACAAACTCTACACAGACAGTAGCCCGAAGGTGGAATCGAACCCCAGTCCCTGGCGCTGTGAGGCAGCAGTGCTAACCAAAGTGCCCCCCAGAATTTTACATATCAGTAAAATCATCATGGTATCCTACAGCACCACACCAAATGGCCTTTTGATAGATATGATTTTCAGCAGTCATCAAAGAATTCAATTGTCAAAAGAAATGCCGGTTATTACTTAAATTATTTTACTATAAATTACTTTTGACGCACGGTGTCAATTGTTGGAAAAGACAAATTGGACAGTCAGTCTGCATTGACAAACTTTCAAAGGCAGCACTGATTTGGATGGCAGTTTATCTTTGTTTGCTGGTAATGGTCAAAGGAGAAATGCTGGCCGGGATACCAAGACCATTCTCTGCTCTCCTATCAGTTCTTTCAAGAAGATCCACAGCCTGCTCGGCCTTTCTTTAGCTTTCTGAATGAAGCATGCTGCAGCCACCACCACAGGTAAGGTAAAGAGGTAGATCCCAAATTCGCTGCGTCCACCACAGGGATTGAACCCTATACTGTTAGCACCAACTGATCCACACCAGTCCAACCAACTGCAGCCTCCACCTCCTAAGGAGTCTGAGTTGATTTGGCAATGAACACTTTTACATGTGGGGAGGTGGTGGTTTTGTAACTGGACTGGTACTTCAGAGATCAAGGTAATGCTCTGGGGACAAAGGTTCAAATCTGATTACAGCAGATGGCAAAATTTGAATTCAATTAGTAGATCTGGAATGTTAAAAAGGGTTAAAACTAGTCTAATCGGAAACATTTGTGGCACAGTGATAGTGTCCATACCTCTGAGCCAGAAGGCCTGGATTCACATCCCACATGCTCCAGAGATTTGTAGTAATGACTCCAAACAGATGTATTAAGAAAATATCTAAAAGCCCATTAGTTTCACTAATCTTGTTCAGGGCAGCAAAATACCTAACATCTGCAGGTGGTCTGTCCTACATGTGACTCCAGACCACCAGCAGTGTAGTTGACTCTGAACTGCCCTCTGAAATAATGCAGCAAGGCACTCAGTTCAAGGAAAATTAGAAATAGGGAACAAATGCTGGCCTTGTCATTGATGCCACATTCCATGTTTAAATAAATAAGGAAATGTATGTTGTCTTCTGGAGCCGAACAGTGATGATAGAAACTCCAATTTCTTTCCATCACACGGCTGACCAGGAAACCCTCCTCTTCCTGCTGCCTGCCATTGATGTCCGTTGGGAGAACTGACAACTTGATAACTGTTTGGCCATGTTCTGAATGCATCTTCCTTAGCCATCAAACCCTGGAGTGGAACTTGAATCTGCAGCTTCTGGTTCAGAAGCAGGGATGCAACGCATCAGGCCACTTCCTTTCAAATTTCACTGATAAGTGTATCTGCTCAGGTTCTGGTATTATCCTGGTGCAGCAGAGGCTAGACTGATCTTACCTCTGTTTGTTGTCAATGCACTCTACAGCAAGTGTCTCTGGAGAATGATTGTGAGTGGGACTGTATTTTCACCCCACCTCTCTAGCCTCAAGAATTAGAATTAGAATCCCTACAGTGTGGAAACAGGCCCTTCGGCCCAACAAGTCCACACCGAACCTCAGAGCATCCCATCCACATCCATCCCCCTATGACCCACCTAATATACACCCTCTACCTCCCTGAACACTACAGGCAATTTAGCATGGCCAATCCACCTAACCTGCACATCTTTGGACTGTGGGAGGAAACCGGAGCAAACCTACGCAGACACGGAGAGAATGTGCAAACTCCGCACAGACAGTCACCCGAGGCTGGAATCGAACCCAGGTCCCTGGTGCTGTGAGGCAGCAGTGCTAACCACTGTGCCACCGTGTCGCAATGCAAACAACTTATAGAATTGCAACTGCCTGGAAGAGAGACTATGATTGGAATTTGGAACCTTCCTCAATTGAATGCTTCTTCCTCAGTGGTCAGATTTTTGATTGACTCTCCACCTCCCACTCCTCTTTTCAGACATTCCACAAAAACAACCTCTTTGACTAAGCTGCTGATCTGCCCTAATGTTTTCTCATGTGGTTCTGTATCAAATTTTGCTTGACACTGCCCCATGAAGCATCTGGGTTATTTGACTATATTAAAGCTGAAAATAAACACAAATAAAAGTAGACTCTTTGGAGGAGATTTCAGATAAAGAGGGGAGAGTTGGAGCTTAATCTGGGAATAGAGGTCAAATCTCTAATTATAGCATTATGGAGTGTTGCTGAATCAATGCAGAGCTCTACAAACCACAGATGGAAAAGGTAATTTATAATTCATTGCTATTAGGCACCAACAAAATCTGTAAATTAAACACCAAACACTGAACTAACAGCACTAGGACAGCAATAATTATCATAATCAAGGTCCCCACGATACTTTGGGTATTGTGTGAAGACAGGCATGGTCTAACTCATAGCAAATACTTGTTCCATGTCATCTCCTGGATTTTTTGCTTCAGGGTGTTGGAGAGAAATTATCCAGAATTGTTTTTCCTTAATGGCCCAGGGGGATGCTCC